CTGATTTTTAAAAGCATGTGGTATTTTACTGAGATTTCCTGATATGAACGTTATATGCTTTACTTCTCGTCATTACTGCTCAGTCTTTATTTATTATTGTTACTTACTGAGTTGGCATACTCACGTTACTCTCTGCACCTTGTGTGCAGATCCAGGTGTGGCTGGACACGGTAGCGGTTAATGAGTGTTCTGGTTGCAGATTTTCTTGGAGATAGCAAGGTAGCTGTTTGGCGATCGCAACCCCTGCTCTTCTCCCTGTTATCTTCCTCTAGTAGTATTTAGCTATTTTCCAAGCTGAGTTAGCCTTGATATTGTTAGACAGATTATAGTAGATGCTCATGACTAGTGACACCCTTATGTCGGGCTTTTCTTTTCCGCACTTCTGTTTTTCTTTGATTTGAACTCTTTAAATGGAGGTTTTATGTTAAATAACCTTAAAATTTTCTTTGAAATGAAAATATCGTTTTGTTTTGGAAATGAGTCAGCTTTCCTAGTTCCACGATAGGCGCCATCACGACAGGGGTTAGTTTTGGGTCGTGACACTCTGATACCATATTGTCACGTCATTAGTCTTTAACTAAGCGCATGTGTGTCACTTGACAACTCTCTCACGTTCTTGCACAACTTGCTCATAATCTTGCTATGTCAAATCAACCTAAGATACTAGGAATCGCTAAGGTAATGATAAAAATAACACAAGAGAATTTTCAAGAAAAATTTGTATTAGAGAGAATTTGAATAATTTGTTAGGTGAGTTACAAAGAAATAGACCCTTCTGTATACTAGTCTCCTAGGGGCTAGTGAGTACGTAGTAATTATTATACAAGTCCCTTGTTATTTACAAGTAAGTCCCCTCTTGAGAATTATCTATATAACTAGAACTTTCAAGGACTTTCCAAGCAAATCTGTAGGGTTCTAGGGTCTTCCAAGGGAAATCTTCATCTTTCTCTAGAACCTTCCCACACGTGCTAGCCTCTTTCCTCTATAAGCTTTTCACATGGAAAAAATATATGCCAAATGGAACCTATGTGATATAATGATATGTCGGGTCATGACATGATGGGCTAAATGTATGTCGGGTTACATGTTATAGCCATTGTCATATATTATTTAGGCCAAATACATAGACAACCCTTTAACTTGGCACCAATTTTTATTTTGGCACTCTATCTTAGTCCTGTTCCATTTTGGCACTCGAACCCCCATTCCTTATATGTCATTTTAACATAAAAGGTTGACTTGTCACATTAGTTGAGTTTTCTTGCTTGGTAGGCGCGCGAAACTTTATTTTAACAGTAATAAAAGGCCATAAAGTTACAGTTAACAACATTTAAATGCCCAACCTCCTCTCCCATTAATTCTTCCATCTCCTTTCCAAAATAATCCTTATTTTCTAGTCTGTTTCGATCTTTATCTCCATAAATGCTTCAAAGTCTGGGTTTTTCTAGTTTATTAATTTATTCTTTATTTAGTAATATCCCTAAGCCAAATTCATATCTTCATCCGAAGCTTGAATTTTTTAAGTGAACACATGTCTCTAATTCCCAAAATACTAGAAAAACAAAAAGAAAAAACTTTAATGTATGGCTAAATGAATACTTATCAGTACAAGAACCACGACAATAAACAATGGTCACTCTCAAAAACATCCTTAACTATCAAATGCACATCGAAATATGAATAATTAGTTTATGAGAATATTATTCTCGTTCTTAAATGATGAAGAATCTACCAATAATTAATAGTTTTATCTCCTAACGCTAGGGATTTGGGGAATAAGATTAGGGCAGATGACTGTGAGAGTCAGAAAAAATAATTGAAACTTTTGTTTTAGGGTAACCCATCTGGATAAATAATGGAACCGAGTATTTGGATTAAATCCGGTTAACAAGGATAAAAACAAGTGTTGGGATCTAATTGGATGGTTGTTTCATATTAGAAGCGATTATAACACGCGCTGTATTTTTTTATCGGATAAAATATTTTATGTTAAAATGACACATAAGGAATAAGGTTGGAGTGCCAAAATAGAACAGGTCTAGATGGGGTACCATAATGTAAACTAGTGCCAAGTTAGAGAGGTTATCTATGTATTTGGCCTATTATATATATATATATATGCATACACCATGCATATCGAGTATTTTTTATACATATGAATACACCATGCATAATTATCCCTCTTGTATATATATACATTGCATCACGCATGTCAATATTTTTATGTACATATGTGTGGATTCATGATTGATTGTGAAGCTATTATGCTCGGATAAGGCACATGAATTGGGTCCATCCATTTAGAGTCACGTGATTATCCATATTATCTTAGGACTTGTGTGTGCAGGTTGTGAGAAATTAACGGGTTTCTAGTTTAACACGAGATACGTGTGCTCATGTATTTTAACATATAACATTCACATGCATATCATCCTCATATGCTAATCGGTGTATTTTACATATACGTGAGACTTATTAACAGGTTGTTGGATACTTGGAGTGTATCAGTTGATGTAAAGTTTGAGTCTTTATCATGCATAGACAGTCTATACCCATGTAGAATCATTCGAAGACTTGATACATATCTCCTTTATATATACATTCGGTGCATTGATATATGCTTTTGATCATGATAACTAAGAAAACATGCTTCCTATCTTGTACTTCAATTGGGTACCTTATTTTTCAGACTTGTTGCTCCTTGTTATTTTTCTATTTCTGTATATGTTTAAGAATTGCACAACTTATATAAAATGAGTAGTTGTTGACTAAACTTTGCTACTATTTTGTTGAGGTTAGTCTTGATACTTACTGAGTACATGAGGTCAGTTGTACTCATACTATACTTTTGCATATTCCGTTCAGACTTTGGAGCTAAGCTGTTGTAGAGTTCGAGGGTGAGCATTGAAGATATTAGTATTCGAGTTATTAGCTGCCATTTTGTTCATGGTAGTTTAGAACTTATGTATATTCAAATAGATAATGTATTTTTTTTTACCAGCACTGTATTTCATTTCTTAGTTTCTCATGACTTGTGACACCAGTTCGTAGGGGAGTTTGTATAAAGTTTCGTATTCTTATTTCATTATTTATTTGATGAACTTCAGTTTAGGTTTTCTTTCATGTTGATTGGTTCATCTAGCGAGTTAGGTTATTGATAAGTGTGGATTTCGACCAATTATTAGCACCCTTTTGCTTCTGTTTTAGTCCGAAAGTATTGATTTATGTTCCCAACACTAATAAAAGTGTACAATTTGCAGGAATGATTTTAGCTCTCATGAAAAAATCCGACTCAAAAAGGAGTGTTCCGACTCAAAGGGCAAGAAGGGACGCAACACACAAGAAGTGCGGTCCACAGAGGTATTTCTGCTGCCGCAGAAGAAAGTGCGGATCACAGAATTCCCTCTGTGTCCATATAATTGGTGAAGAAGCCCATCATACTTTGAGCAGAAGTGCAGACCGCATATGAATTGTGCGGCCGCAGAATAGGGTCCGCACTGGCAGGAATTCTAAAGTTCAGAGAGTGTGCAAATGACCGAGCCTTGAAGCCTTGCTTGAAGTGTGGACCGCACAAGAATTGTGTGGCCGTAGAAGCTGCATTGCAGCCGCAGACCAAATTGTGCGGCTGTAGATTCCAAGTCCCTCCAAGCTAAAGCAATGTGCGGACCGCACATGGAACTGTGCGGCCGCAGAACCTCCTGAGAGGCATTTTTGTTAGCGAATTTTGAGCCACTATAAATAAACGGGAATCACATTTTTATGTCAAGTTTTGACGTTCAAGCAACTGTAGCCGTTGTAATTTTCCATTTTAGGAAATTTGTGGTCATTTTGGGATTTAAACATTATAGTTTATCATTTTAATCTTAGATTATGAGTTTAATTAGTATTTCTTCTTGTTTTCTTCATTTTCCACTGTGAGTAGCTAGATTCTTACTAGGGTTGTAACCCAACCCTAGTGTGTAAACCTTATGAGTATTTAATTTAATGCGAGTTTATGATTGAATGTTGATTATTTAGCCTTGTTTATGCTTTAATTTTAGAATTAATGGTTGCAAACATTGATTCATGCCTTTTTGACTTGATCTTTATTTGAGAAAGAGGGACCTAGTCTAGGATAACTTGGCTAACAAGAAATTGGGTTAATTAAGGCTTTGATTAGCCCAATTAAAGGGTTTGAACTAGAGATAGGAAAAACCCGACTTGAGCTCTTATCAACTGTTTTGCTTGATACCCATTTGGGCTTGAGAAAACCAAATTGGGCAAAATTACTCTATGATCGAGAGGTATTGAGTGAGTAACTTAGAGTTGAGAGCTATAATACATCTCGATCAATAAAACAAGTGTTAACATACTTAACCCATTAGGCGAACACCTAGATGGAGGTTACATCCCTAAGCTTTTTAACCATCTGGTAAAAACAACAAAAACAATCATTCACTTTCTAGTTTCTTCTCATTAAGTTATAATTGTTAGTGATAATTTAGAAGTAGAAAACAACATCCTTTGTTTGGAAGCACGATTTAGTTATTTCATTTGCTCTCATCAAGTATATACTCTAACACCCATATTAAATTTTATGTGAAAATTAACCCCGACTCTAGTTGTGTACTATTCTTCCAACGACCGTTTTCACTCACTATTGAGTGCGGATCGGACGTGGATCAGTTATGTGCCACCATAACTTGGTGGGATTTGGATCGTGATAAAGTATAAAACTAGATGGAATTTTAACTTAAATTATTTTAATAATGATCAAATATCGGTTTAACAGTGGAATATACACCATATTTTTTGAGTTTTTCAAACATGAAAATAATTAATCCCTAATTTTTTTAATTTAAAATGGTCCATAGAAGAGGTTTTCCTAGGACGTGTGAAAGACGCTTCTAAGGAGTGGACTCGTTTCTACTCCCCTCGGCAAAAACACAAAAAATCTTTTCATCTGCAAAATGCCAAAACAACCATAGATAAGTAAATAAATATCTTAATTGTAAAATAATGCAGTTTTCACCATCCAAACTGGAAAATTAGGGGGAGTTCCTTCCCCCCCTTCTCTCTCTCTCTTCCAAAAAGTCTCTTTGACCACCACCATCACCACCCTTTCTTTCTTCCCTTCTTCCTCCTATCTACTTCAACCTTTCCTCTCTTAAATCTCCATTATTGTTTTCACATTCCCCAACCCCCCATAATATATAAACATATTTTCTTGACCTTCTCTTTTCTTGAAATTATATGTATATTGATCTATGTTCAATTGTGTTATGATCTGAAAAGGCAAAAGTTTGCATTTTTTTCATCATTTTCACCAATATGGGCAGCTGTTTTTCTAGCTCCAAAGTTAGTGGCTCAAATAGCAATACCCCTTCTACAACTACTACAAATGTAAATGTTCATCACAACCGTCCTTCAACAACAACAACAACAACTGTTACATCAAGAAAACAAGAGGGGTCAAATTATAATAGAGATAAAGGTAATATTAATACAAAAAACAGCCACCAAAAACAACAACCTAGGAGTTCTCAGCAGAATGTTGTTGTTAAGCCAAGTTCAAGAAGACAAAGTGGAGGGGTTATTCCTTGTGGGAAAAGAACAGATTTTGGGTATGATAAAGATTTTGATAAGAGGTATACTATTGGTAAATTGTTGGGTCATGGCCAATTTGGGTATACATATGTTGCTACAGATAGATCTTCTGGAGATCGTGTTGCTGTTAAGAAAATTGAGAAAAACAAGGTATTACCATATTAAAAACCAGATTTTTAACTTCATTTGTTGATTTTTTTGGTTCTAACATTCATTTTACATGTATGTCTTGATTGTGGAATGTTTGTTTAATTAATTCCTAGGGATTGTTTGTATTCTTTTTTTTTTTTAAATCTTGGATTGACTGGTAAATAGAGTTTCAATGGCTAATTATTGCCAATTATCATCATCTGTAGGCAGATGTAAAGTATGTCTTATGATAGCTTTGGCTCCGATGCTGTATATGTGTTAAAAAATCCACTAAAGAAGTACAAATAGTAATAGATTTCGAACCTAGTAAATCAAATGAGCTGTGGTAGAATTCCGAGCTTGAACCCATAACTGGATCTGCCTCTGTCAGGGGTGGCTAGAGGGTCAACTGCCAAGCAATTAAAGCAATAGCTTTAGGCCCCAAAATTTTGGGGGCCCTAATTTTTATTTTTGTTTTTTACTCGTGTCCGATATTCTCATTGAGGCCTCGACTAATTTGAATTCGCACCATGTAAGGCCTAGCAAAAGGGAACTCGCACTCTAACAGGATATCATCCATAGGGCTCAAACCCCATCTTGGCTTTAGGCCTCCAATGTTGTTGAGCCGCCCCTGGATCTGGTTGTACTTGAAATAAATGCTCTGTAGGCATATATTGTTGATTGGGGTCTTTACGTTCCTAGAAAAGAATATCCATCAGCCAATGTAATGCTGGCTTTGTTAGTAGAAGTCTATGTTTATCTAGTGCAATCACTGTCCATTTTGCTTGATTTGTCTTTTGGTGTTTGTAGACTTGTCGTCAGTTGTGGAGTTGTCATCCCTATAGGATGACGGGCTTATGAATGTTTGCAAATAAGAGTACTTTCATTGTGTTTTTCTTTTTCCTTTCTTCTATCGTCCAAGCTTGTTAACTTTTACTTTAATTGTATGATTATCCAGTCTGTTACAGTAGCAATATACCGTACTAATTCTTTTTTGCTGTAGATGGTTCTTCCAATTGCGGTTGAGGATGTGAAACGAGAAGTCAAGATATTGAAGGCCTTAGCTGGTCACGAGAATGTGGTTCAATTCTATAATTCATTTGAGGATGATAATTATGTCTACATCGTAATGGAGTAAGTTTGGTTTTTTGTTTTTTGATCTCTAACGTCCTAGTTTATTTCCCTACAACTGCTCCTTCCACTTGAATCACAAGTTAACGTTTTTCAATTTTTTTGTTTTTCTTTAGGTTATGTGAGGGTGGAGAACTATTGGACCGAATCTTGTCCAAGTAAGTATTCTGAAATTACCAGTTTCAGTTGATTATTCAAATTTCTGATTATGAAGTTTACTTATATGGGTTAAACATAATTTCTATAACCAGAAAAGATAGTCGATATACTGAGAAAGATGCGGCGATAGTTGTACGCCAGATGCTAAAAGTGGCTGCTGAGTGTCATTTACATGGTCTGGTGCATCGAGATATGAAACCTGAGGTGTGCAAACAGTTCAATATTACTTTTGGCTTGGTAATGCTGCTTGATATTGTTTTCTTTAAACAAACTTCTGTTTCTTTTGTAGAATTTTCTCTTTAAGTCTTCAAAGGTGGATTCGCCATTAAAAGCCACAGATTTTGGTCTTTCAGACTTCATAAGACCAGGTAATTGGATTCTCCAGAAATCTAATGAGTTGTAAATTTTTATAAAAATACATCTTTTTGAAGTATTGATTGTCAACGATCTAGGGGCTATTGTTATGGTTTTCTATCTTAAAGTTAAAAACTAATCGGAGGAAAATCATAAATGCAGGGAAAAAGTTCCAAGACATTGTTGGCAGTGCATATTATGTAGCCCCAGAGGTGTTAAAGCGTAGATCAGGACCTGAATCAGATGTATGGAGTATAGGTGTAATTACATACATTTTGCTATGCGGCCGTCGGCCCTTCTGGGACAAAACTGAGGATGGTATATTCAAGGAGGTGAGAATATTTTGCGTGTAGTTTAGAAACGTTTCAAATTGTGTTTTAAATTGGGAAACCTAGGGAAAGGAAATCATAGTTTTAGGGCTCTAATAGGGAATTAACATTCTGTATAAAAATTACATGCTTACCTTTTTTCCTTGCAATAGGATGTTTCAAGTTTCTTTTTAACTTTAAGAGGTAGTTTGAAGTTCCCACTTCCTCCTTAATAAATCTCCCATTCGTTTGGAATTTCCGAATTACCATTCACCTTTTTGATATCATCTTATAAACATCCTCAGTGTTGGACCATCGATGTTTTTTCCTTTGTAGAGAAGCTGCTGCTATTTATTTGGTTAATTTTTTGCTTTTGACGTATGCTTTCTTGGAGAGGCCCTTATCTAGAGCGTTTTTCTTCCTTTAAGATGTTTAATATTTTGTTAATGCTCTGCACTTTGCCTCTTTTTTTTTTCTTTTCTAATTTTGTTCCCGATATGATAAGGTCCTACGAAACAAGCCTGATTTTCGTCGCAAGCCATGGCCAAACATAAGCAACAGTGCTAAAGATTTTGTAAAGAAATTACTGGTGAAGGATCCGCGCGCTAGACTTACTGCCGCTCAGGCCCTATGTAAGTAATATATGATCCTGAATTATTACTATTAAGTTATATTAAGTCTCATATCAGAAGGGGAGCCTTGGAGCAACGGATAGGTCACGTGTTCGAGCCGTGGAAGCAGCCACTAATGCTTGCATTAGGTTAGGCTGTCTACATCATACCCCTTGGAGTACGGCCCTTCCCCGGACCTTGCGTAAACGCGGGATGTCTTGTGCACTGGCCTGCTCTTTTTAAAGTCTCATATCAACTTGCAAAAAGATGTTACTGATGTCGTTCCTTTAATTTTTTTGATATGATGAACAATTGTTTTGAATCTATCTGGTTGAACATTTTCAGCGCATCCATGGGTCCGAGAAGGAGGTGATGCATCTGAGATCCCACTCGACATTTCTGTTTTATCCAACATGCGGCAATTTGTCAGATATAGTCGCCTAAAACAGTTCGCTTTACGGGTAAATAATTCACTGCTTTCTGCTTTCGTAGACCTTTCTGTTTGATAAGGTTACTTCAGATATACGAAACCTAAATTTCTGGATGCTGTTTCACCATCGGGCAGGCGTTAGCTAGCACGCTTGATGAGGAGGAGCTCTCTGATCTGAAGGATCAATTTTCTGCAATTGATGTGGATAAGAATGGTGTCATCAGTCTCGAAGAAATGAGACAGGTATTGCTCATCTTTCATGTTGGAGCTTGTTTTTGTCCTTACAACTCTCATTGGCTATCGGCAAACATCTGAGGCACCGACATTTTGTGTCATTTTGATGCAAAACAATGTATAATGCATATATATCTCATCATCTGTTTTAGTGGCTTATCATATTCATTTCTAATGCAGGCCCTTGCCAAGGATCTCCCATGGAAAATGAAAGAGTCACGAGTTCTTGAGATTCTTCAAGCGGTAAACTTGTTTATCTAAGTATGAAGTATCAGGAGCAAAACATGACATTTGATAAATAATTAGAGAATTATCACAAAAAGGACCTTTTGTCGCCTTAAGCTGTTGCATGTTTGGAACTGCTTTAATATTCACATTCTCCCCTAAGGGGAAAAGAAGAAAACAAGAATCATGTGCCTACAACTCTCTGTTCCCCCCTCCCCCCAAAAACAAAAGAAAAAAGAAAGAAAGAAAGAGAAAAAGAAAGTAAGAAGATAATAGCAAGAAATAGGTGCAAATTCTTGAAACCAAGGGCGTGACCTAGAGGACAATTAAGTGAGATGAAAACCACTGAGAACCAGGGTTCAAATCCACCAGAGGTAAAACACGCTAGGTGTTTTCTTCCAATCTCCCTGAGCTTTGGTGGGGCGGAGACTTATCCGTTACCTGCACTGGTGGGAGGTGGCATGTACTCAATAAAATAGTCGAGGTTGCTCTAAAAAAGAAATAAGTGACCAAATACCTGGGGGTTGCTTTAAGGCTTTGATGAATCAAGGTTCATATTAGGGAAAGGAGAGCGAGGGGACCAAGCACTCCCGCCCCCAAAAGCAGAGACCGAAGAACCGCCAGGTTGTCGAGGACACATCTGAATGTCGGATTACATATTCCAAATAGTTTCTGCACTATAACCCTGTTATGATATGAAAATTACTCAACTGTCAATGCTAATATTGCTGTTAAATCTCAGTAGCTTTCATCATACACAATTTCATCACTTTCTACTATATGGTCTCTTGTGCAGTTCAGAGACCTAAAGTATTTTATTCATTGGTTGGCAGATTGATAGTAACACAGACGGGCTTGTTGATTTCCCGGAGTTTGTGGCCGCCACTCTACATGTCCATCAGTTGGAGGAGCATAATTCTACAAAATGGCAGCAAAGATCGCAAGCTGCTTTTGAGAAATTTGATGTTGATAGAGATGGATTCATAACCCCGGAAGAACTTAAAATGGTTAGTATCGGATTTTTTCTGCTCAAGTGAAGTGAGTGCTATTTACAGAATTCTTCCAAGAGCAAGGGAACCATGTCGTTGACCAACCCTACTAAAACTACATGCTTCATCACTCTTAAGAATGTGTAGCATTCATGTAGGGTCAGTTCTCCATTCTGCATGATAGATGTGATCCCAGATAATATAATGACGTTCTTATTTGGCTCTTACTTACGTGATACTATTGTTTTGCAGCACACGGGTTTGAAAGGATCGATAGACCCACTTTTAGAGGAAGCGGACATTGACAAAGACGGGAAGATAAGCCTGTCAGAATTCCGTAGGCTTTTAAGAACTGCTAGTATGAGTTCACCAACGGTGAGAGATTCACGGAGAAATGTAGCTTTGTAAAGATGTATAAACGGAGAGGTGGACTTCATCAGAAAATCTTGTGGGAAGACGACAATGCTCGTAGACATGTTCTCTTGTGCTTGCGCGCGCTGCATGTCTCAGAAGGGAAGGCTCCCGAGATGATGGTATTTAGAGGCACGTAGCCACGTGGCACTTTGTAGCTAGTGGTCCTTGCGCCAAGTGTGTTTTGTTGAGTTTCCTTTTGCCCTTCACAAAAGAATTTTGGCATGAAGTTTCTTTTTTCCCTAAACAACCAGTTGCAAATGTCTGTAATCTGGTAGTTGTAGTGTATATTCTGTGTCTCTGTTTGTGAGTCTCCAGGTTCTTCCTCCCTTTGAAATTCTAATGTTATGTCATTATAAATATGCCATCAATGTAAATTGTCTGTATCAAAAGGTTTGTTCTGTATGATTTATGGCACTTGTTCAGAAACTTGGTTGATAAAGGTTAGGTTTTAGCACTCAAGGGTGTGGCCTGGTGGTTCATGAGGGAGGAGAACTTATGAGGTTTCTGGTTCAAATTTCAGCGGAGGTAAAAATTAGATATTAGATAATTTCTTCCCTTTCGATACCACCTAATGGAATAGTCGAGGTGATTGTGGTGCCCACGAATGAAGTAGATAATGTCATAGTAGGCTTAAAATTTTGGAACTTCATCATCTAAGCCATCCGAAAGCTAAACTTAACAAGGCAAGGAGAATTGGAAGAAACAATAAACTTCAAATATTGCATGTATAAAATTCTAAAGAGATAAAGGGAGACATGAAATAGTTTAACTATAATGAATTAGTACTCTGCCCATTTGGAGCTTGTTTGGATGGTTGTGTGTCATATTGTATTGTTTTGATAAATACAATATTATATCACGCACCGACAACATGAATAAACTTGTAATATAGCAAAAAAAAAAAATTTGGGCACATGGAGAATTATTATATTAAAAGATAGGGGAAGGGAAAAAATATAGTAATTATTTAATAATAAAGAAGATAAGATGAGGAAAAAATATAAGGTATCGACACGATGAATTTAAGATACAATACAATAAAATTTAAGTAATAATTAATATAAATAATATATTAATGTGACTATAAAAAATTCTCATATATAAAATATAAAACTATATCATTCTTTAGTTAAAAGGACCACTAAGAAACAATGCCAATGTGGCAATTGGCATATCTCAAAACGACCTCGTTTGTCCCCTCCTCCCCAATGTAGTCCTGTACGAAGAACAGCAATGAGGCTTAAAACTGTGGGGAATGCACTACTCGGCACTTGCTTTCGTTGTCGGAGCAGTGAATTTTTGAGGCTCAAATGCTGACGGAAAAAAATCAAACAGTGATGATTATCGGTTCTGCAATTTCTGAATGAAGATAGTGACGTACAATGTGAACGGCTTAAGGCCACGCATACAACAATACGGTTCACTCCCGAAACTTTTAGATTCACTCAACGCTGATATCATCTGTTTTCAGGAGACTAAATTGTCCAAACATGATTTACGAGCCGATTTGGTTCGTGCTGAGGGTTACGAGTCTTTCTTCTCTTGCACCCGTACTTCTGATCGTGGCCGCTCCGCTGGCTATTCCGGTAATTTTTAATGTTTTAGCTCTACTTTTTACATTTTTATTTATGTTAGGTTACGTAGTGGTGTGGGCTCACAGTGTAAAAATCAGGTAATTTAAAACGCAATTGCAAGTAACTTTTGGAATGCTACCTCAGTTCCAATTTTGAAACTTGTGTTCTTAAATCATCAGTACATCCTTACTTATCCACGTTTACGTTTGACTTGGCACCCCCTTATGAAGTAATTAATAAAATAATAATTTTACTATATGAACCCTTGTTATAATATGTTGGGAACTGAATTGGAAACATTAGTAATACTTAATAATAAGGGTAAAATGGTAAATTATATCTTGGTTTTTCAAACTGGACAAGTAAAAGTGGACGTCTTTTTTTGTATAGTAGACAACTAAAAGTGGATGGAGGGAGTATATTATAATATCTGTGTAGTAATATAAGCTCCTCATTAAGGATAAAATAGAAAGTTTAAAGGAGGTCATTTTTTTGAAAACAGACTAAAAAGAAATAGGCTTACATAAATTGAAACAAAGGGAGTAACATCGATGGGTAATTTTAAATAAATGTTAAGTAACTTGATACAAAAGGGTAAGTTACACTGATGGTGTAAACATTTGTTAATGTATATAATTTCTGGTTAGGTATTGCGTGTCAGTGTAAGAGTAATTGTGAGTTTTGGATAGGCTTTAAAATTCCTAATTTACTGTTTATTTAGTATTTTGGAATGAAATATGCCCGAATAGAGGGAATTTATTGAGTATTGGAATGAAATATGCTCGAATAGATAGATGATTAGTTGGCTGATTGATATGTAGGTGTAAATTTTCATTAGCTCATTTTGTGTCAATCTCAGCAGCTGAGTACTTTTTTCAATGAAATATTAGCTGAATTGATCGGGAAAGTTTGGCTAGCTCAATTGCAGGGTGTGTATGGTGTGGAAAGAGCAATTCGTCGAAATTCCTTGACTTTGGATATCATGGTTAGATCATTTTTGAGTGTTTGGCTTGTAAAAAAATAGGCCGAGTATACTAATAGTACAAGGTGGTGAATAGGGTATGCCTATAGTGTTTTTGTCATATTCATGAGTATTAAAGGTTGACAACAATGTCTAACTTTTGGTTGAAGCAAGCGACACAAAGTAAAAGCTAGAAATTTTGTAAAGGAAAAATGACTTTTTGCCTCTAAGGGACAGAAATGGTTTCCTCATTTTTGATATTTCTTCCAGCAATTGGAAGTAACCTAACACTGTAAAGTGATACCATCTAAGATAACATTTTCATCATAGCAACAACAACCTACATCTCTCTTTATCTTCATAATCTTGAAGTTGATGAACATAGAGAGTAGTCTTGTGGATTGCTAATAATAAAGTCTTGCAGGCTAAGCTATTCTTGGTGGAGCTTGTTTAGGAATTTGTTTTTGTATATAAGTTTGAACGTTTCTTTTAAGACTTGGTATATCTGAAGTAGGACAGTGCTAACTAATGCAAAAAGTTTCTGTAGGAGTGGAATGGCCTTAGTAAATTCTTATTTTATTTTTTCATGTATGCATATAGGCATGCATTACGGAGACAAATAGAAAAGTAATTGAATTTATGTCTACTTGTCCAGGTGTTGCAACGTTTTGCCGCGTAAAATCTGCATTCTTGAGCAATGAGGTAGCTCTGCCAATTGCTGCAGAAGAGGGCTTCACTGGTCTCCTTGGGACATCTAACGGATATGAATCTAGAAAGGATGAGTGTCCTTCAATAGCAGAAGGCCTTGAGTGCTTTTCTAGAGATGAGCTCCTTAAAGTTGATAGTGAGGGACGTTGTCTGATTACTGATCATGGTCATTTTGGTGAGTACATGCTATCCCCGGAAACAATAGCGATGGATAATTTCTAATCGGAAGAACAAATCATAGTCTAAACATTTGTTGAAAGCCATGTCCTTTTCTTTTTCTGGCTCACTATGTGATATAACTCTTCAATATATTTTGTTTTTATTTTTTATTTTTTGATATTTTATTGCACATTCGAGTCTCTTACTCCCACCATAGCTTGGTGATTGACCAGTGTTTCTTCTTGCAGTTCTATTCAATATATATGGGCCCAGAGCTGTTCAGGATGACTCTGACAGAATCCAATTTAAGCTGACATTTTTCAAGATGTTAGAGGTAATCAATTCCCAATTTGGTTGTCAAATTATGAGAACCTGATAAATGACTTTTTCTTTTTTCCTATTTTCAATTGCTAAATTAGCTTTTGCTTTATTGATGAGGAAATCTTGCACCAAATATGTCAATAACCCCTGTAATCTTAGCATTAAGTTTGCCTTTTTTTTTTCTTGGTGATATGTCCACTACAGAGGTTCATTTTGACATTTTAATCGCACCAAATCTTAGCACAAATTATTGAAATGAAAGGGATCTAAGTAGAGCAGAATGGATATAGAGGATTCATATAGCCACCCCCAACTAATTTGGGATCAAGGAGTAGGTGATCTAAATGTTAACATAAATTTCTATCAGTGTGTAGTGGGTGGAAAGGTTTAGAAAATGGATCTGAGAAATTTCTGATTTCTATTTGGAAAATGTTGTGAGAATTCCATGTTACTTTCCTCATTGTTGTCATTTATCTAAGGCTCCAAGTCTCGACCAGGTCCTGACTGCGACTTTATAAAACAACTCTGATATGTGGGATGCGAATTTACAATTCTTTAGCTGGGAGAAGGTTGTTCTTAAACCCTTGGAATTAAGTTTTTGTGGGTTGTAATGGCAAGGATGTTAGGAATCTGAGGAGCTGGTATCATGCTTCAATTTCTTGCTTGCCACAAGGTGCATTAGTTTTGTGTACTGGTCCAATAAATTACGGAACAGGAGGTGATTATAGCAGAAATTAGGAAGATTGCCACTAGGATTGTGGTATGGCTAACTCTTCAAGGACGAGTTGGTCATTCTTCTAGAGATTTTATCATTTTTGTAGCATATTGAGCCTTGTTTGGTGATAGAAAGGTGACTATGATTGGTGTCGTCCCTTGGTGTGTTTATTTACTTAAAGTTTCTCCTTTTCTTATTAAAGATAAGGAAATAAAAAAATCAAAGTTACCTATTTAAAAAGAAAAGGGACAAGGAAGTGAAAGCATCAATTTTATTGATGTTTTAACTAATCGTATTACATACTTTACGTCCAATTATTTATGGTTGTTTAATGCTATCTTGGTATCCTGCAATTCTCTATCTATTAGGTTAGCTAATTATTTTTGTCTCCATGTGACCTATAGGTCACGGGTTCGATCCGTGAATATGCCGTGACGCTTGCGTCAGAGTAGGCTGCCTACAGTACACCCCCTTAGGGTGCAGCCCTTCCCCGGTCCCTGCGTGAACGTGAGATGCTTCGCGCACCGGGCTGCCCTTTATATATCTCTGCTATCTTTTCCAGGATATTATGTCTATTAGCATATTTCTTCATTGACTGCAGAAATAGCCTGTACTTATAGTGTAAACATGCATTTCTGAACTTCACACTCTTTGCTTCATACTAGTCATTTTTATGTAGAGAAGATGGGAGTGTCTCCTGCATCAAGGAAGGAGGATTATCATCGTAGGGGATCTCAATATTGCTCCTGCTGCCATAGATCGTTGTGACGCAGAACCTGATTTTGAGAAGAACGAGTAAGTTGCTTCCTGAAATATTGTATATGCAGGATATAGATTAATTCTTTGGTCTCGTTTTATTAAGATAGCAATTCTACTTGGTAACTGGTGAATTTCCACTGCGTTGCAGGTTCAGGAAATGGTTTAGATCGTTATTATTGCAGAATGGAGGGCGTCTCCTTGATGTTTTCAGAGCAAAACATCCTGATAGGTTTCTCTCTTTCTACTTATGTTTACTTTTGTAATTTTCTAATTCTCTCTACACAGCTAAGGGGAAAAGGGAGGAAATCATGTTCATTGTTAGTTTCTCATGACATGCAAACATTTAGTGCTTCTAAAGGTCATTTTTTTTAGTCCTTCTCCGTACGTTTTTCCACAAAAGCACATACTGGATGAAACTTTCATTGTTTTTCAAAGTCAAATAAGAAATGAGATAGAGTAGTCATCCTCATCTCCCTTAACTCTTGTATTTCTTGTCATCTTGTTATATGAACCTTTTGTCATCTCACTTCATCTTGTATTTTGCATTTTTGCTACAGAAAAGGAGCCTATACTTGCTGGTCACAGAGTACAGGAGCCGAGGAATTTAATTTTGGTTCTAGGATTGACCATATACTTAGTGCAGGATCATGCTTGCATGGTGAGGAAAATCAAGAAGGGCACGACTTTGGTACTTGCCATGTTGCAGAGTGTGACATATTGATGCAATTTCAAAGGTGGAAACCTGGAAATACGCCAAGGTAAACTTTAGCTATTTGTAGTAAGGAAAATTACATGATCGCATTATGGATGAATGACCTTCGAAGCATGAACTCTCATAAACAAGTGAGGATAGTTCCGAAAGTGATAATAATGTAACTTAGCTGCTCGATATCAGTAGACATTAGTTTGGTCTGATTACCTGTATGCTTTGCGGCGATGGAAAGATTTGTTTTACTATTTCATAAATCTGTCATGTTACAGTTTCTGTTAATCTGTTACAAGGATATACAACAACAAAAAACCTAGAAGTAAAAATTTATAAGGATATAGCAAGTAAAAATTCCAACTTGTATTCTTAGTTGTGAGAAAGCACGGGAGAAAAATATATTATTGATATTCTATTCAATTATAATACAATGGGCCATATTTATACAATGCATATCCTACTCTACTATATGGACTAGGACTAAGTCACGTTATTTACATAACTATCTAACACTCCCCCTCAAGCCTGTGCCTACAAATCATATTTACCGAGCTTGTACATATGTAACTAATACGAGGACCTGTGAGGGACTTGGTGAAAATATCTGCAAGCTGATCGTTCGACTTCACAAACTTTGTAGTAATATCTCCCGAGAGTATCTTTTCTCTAAAGAAGTGACAGTCAATCTCAATGTGTTTAGTTCTCTCACGGAACACCGGATTTGATGCAATATGAAGGGCATCTTGCTTATCACACACAAGTTCCATCTTGTTGATCTCACCAAATTTCAACTCCTTGAGCAACCGTTTGATCCAGACTAGCTCACATGTTGCCATAGCCATTGCTCGATACTCTGCTTCTACACTAGACTGAACAACCACATTCTGTTTTTTGCTCTTCCAAGATACCAAATTACCTCCTACTAAAACACAATATCCAGACATAAAACATCTATCAGAAGGTGATCCTGCCCAATCAGTATCTGAGTATCCAACGATCTGCTCATGGCCTCGATCCTCAAACAATATCCTTTGCCCGGAGCTGATTTTGTATAACGAAGAATGCGGACAACTGCATCCCAATGACTAGCACATGGAGAATCCATAAACTGACTCACAACACTCACAGGAAAGGAAATGTCAGGTCTGGTGACTGTGAGGTAATTTAGTTTACCAACTAGCCGCCTATATCTTGCAGGATTACTAAGCGGATCCCCCTGTCCTGGCAGAAGTTTAGAATTCGGATCCATAGGAGTGTTAACAGGTCTACAACTTGTTATTCCTGTTTTCTCAAGAATGTCCAAGACATACTTCCGTTGTGAGATCACAGTACCTAAGCTAGACTGAGCGACCTCAATACCTAGAAAACTTTAATCTGCCCAGATCTTTAGTTTGAAAGTGCTAAAAGAGATGGTTTCTCAACCTAGTAATACCATCCTGATCATTGCCAGTAATAACAATATCGTCAACATAAATCACCTGATAAATACAGAGATTTGAAGCAGAATGCCGATAAAATACAGAGTGATCAACTTTACTACGAGTCATGCTCAACTCCTGAATTAATGTGCTGAACTTACCAGACCAGGCTCGAGAAGACTGCTTTAGACCATAGAGGGACCGACCCAATCGATATACACGGCCACTAGACTTCCCCTAACAACAAAACCAGGTGTTTGCTCCATATAAACCTCATCCTCAAGATCATCGTGAAGAAAAACATTCTTAATGTCCAACTAATAGAGAGGCCAATGGCGAACGACAATCATGGATAGAAAAAGGCGGACTGATGCTATTTTAGCCACGGGAGAGAAAGTGTCACTATAATCGAGCCCAAATAAATGAGTATACCCTTTGGCAACAAGACGAGCCTTAAGTCGATCAACCTGGTCATCTGGACCAACTTTGACTTCATACACCCAACGACAACCAACAGTTGATTTGCGTGAAGGAAGAGGAACAAGCTCTCAAGTACCACTCGTATGTAAAGCATTCATCTCGTCAATCATAAGCTTGCTGCCATCCTAGATGAGACAATGCTTCAACTGTAGACTTAAGGATGGAAACTTAGGACAAAGATGATACAAGCGCATAGTGGGGTGATGACAGACTAAGTTACTCGGACTCGGGTGCGGGTGTCCGACACGGGTGCGGATCCAAAGGTCGGATCCTTCATGGTCTAAATTTTAGGATTCGAGGATACGGATCTAGGTACATGTACGGGTGCGGAGATTCAGCAAAAATAAATTAAAAATCTAGAAATATAGCTATAGAGATATGCATAATTATGAGAGATTATATGGAAAACTTACGTGTAACTTGTGCCTTGTAGAGTGTAGTAACTGAGTCATTTAGTTTTCAAGTTGTAGGCAGGCATGTAGACACTCTCCAAAATGGCATGATTCATTAATTTTCCTACAACTCGCACAACAAAGTATTAAAATAAGTTATTATAAACTTGTTGAAATATAACAAATAAAAGTTATAAAGAGATTTAGAGATACAAAAGAAATGAAACATACCTTTGGAAGTTAGAACTTAGAACTAAATAGACTAACATATATTCAAGAGTCACTAGTCAAAAGTTTTAAATAATTAGCTATTCAAATTAAGTTACTCAAATGACCACTAAAAAGTCTTACAGAAATTGTAAGTTCACAAGTTCATAGACAAAAAATAAGTACATAGCATACACATTTAAACTACGCTAGACTTGTCACTTGAAACATTGTGCATGAGTACATTCTATTCAAAGGCCATCTTCCTCAATCTCTTCAATGTCAACTTCTTGCAAATCTTGAACTTCCTTTTCAAAGAAGACTCCTTCTAGTTGAGGTTCGTCTCTTGACAATTCAACTAGATCATTGATACTTTCATCAATATTAAATTAATCTCCACCTAAAACAACACCAAAATAAATTTAGAAGATTGTGAAAGGAACTTATCATGCTAAAAAGATTACTCAAGAAATATCAAATCATGGATATGTATGTATTACGGATATACCTAAATCCCAATATTTGCTTGGACCACTTGTATACTTTTCCTTTCTTCGAGAGAGCAAGCGAAGGTTATAATGGATAAAAACTAAATCTTCGGCTTTAGGAGTAGCTAGCTTGTTTCTCTTGATGCTATGAATCAATGAAAAAGTACTCCAATTTCTCTCGCAACAAGATGAAGAAGCTGGCTGGGAAAGCAATTTGTAAGCCAAACTTTGTAAAAGTGGAGCATTTACATCATGGTTAGCCCACCAAGATAAAGGCTCCTCATACCCCATAGCATCAATCACATGAGGCTCACCAAAGTAACCATTCCCACAACAAAATGCCCCATCCTCCAAAGAAGCTTTCTTTAAATCATTCGGATCCTTGAAATGTCTTTGAAAGCATTTGAGCCTATTTTGTGAAATCTCTATATCTTCATTAGGAGCAAGTCTTCTTAACCCGTTGCTTTCACCTTTAAGCCACGACTCATGATAATATTTCGGAACCAATGAATGTGCCATGCAATGCAATGGAGTATTACTCTTATTCCACCTTGCCACAAGAATTCCTTGAATTGTAGCAAAAAAATTCGATTGGTCGGTAATAAGATCTTTCCCCTCATGCTCAAATACAGTCACCTTCACCTTTTCAATCATTGTATCCCACATGTCGTAAATAAGGTGCAATTTTGGACAATCAAGGTCGGCACTTCTAAGCATGGATACAATTGGCTCTGTACACCTCAACAAGTATTCAATAATATCCCACCATTCATCATCCATCACAAGAGATTTTATTTCGTGCGCTTTAGCTTCAATTACTTTATCTCCTTTATAATTCTTCCATTCGTCATCCATCACCATTTTTTCCAATGACGATTTAACTCTATGAATACGAGAAGTCATAATAATATGGGAAGCAAATCTTGTTTCCGCAACTTTCAACAAAGATAACTCCGAATACTTTTAGAAAATGGCAAGCGCCATGTCGTGATTCACCACAAATTCTTTAAGCTACTCACTTGACCAATCAACTTTAATATCCATTCGCAATTTTTAAAGTGAGTTGATTTTTCTGAAGGTTGACACATACTTTTTAAAGCAAGATTCAAACAATGAACAACACATGGTGTCCAAAATATGTGCGGAAAAGTTTGCTCAACAATAGAACCGGCAAGCTTAAATAAACAAGATGGGGAGTTTACGATGACAATTGACTTATTGGACAAATACTTCATTAAATAAACAAAAAGGTATTATGATGGGTGGAGTTTATGATGATAATTCACTTTTTGGACAAGATAATTCACGTCACTTTTCATGGGATAGTAAAATATTGCATTAAATGATATTTGTACCATTTATTTTTATCATTTTAATTTGGAAATATATTTTAATTTTAATAGAAATATAATTATTAATCAAACTCCAAACCCTAAACCCCAAAACTAAAACCTCAAACCCCCAAATCATATAACCTTAAACATTATTTAATTACATATGATATTGTGTATATTTTATTATTGATTAAATTAGTCGATTAATGTGATTTGTCTGAAAGCTATATAACCTTAATCATGAATAATTAATTATATTTCAAGTATTTCAATAGATCAATATTAATTAGCT